CCTGCTGCTCTTTTAAATGTCTTTTTCCTCTTTTCCATTTATTTATTATACTTTGCAGTTGTAGTTCTAGGTATTTGACATCCATACTGCCAACTATAATAATTCTGAGTCAGCCTAAGTTCCTGCTAAAACTCCTTTGTTCAAAAGAAGTATGCAGGAGAGCATAGAAGAAAAAGATTTCTTAAAACAAAACCAACATTTTTATTCAACAGTTCTTTTCTATAATGTGGAAACTGTTTGATCTCAAGTCTTCTGCCTGTCCTCCAAGTCGTGTGCACAGCTTGTCTGGTAAAGATTTTTGCCTCTACATATATATGCAGGTTCTTCAGAGCTAAGCAAGCTAAGCAGAAGTAGTACTGAATCAGAATCCCAGACATTTCATAAAGGTTACAGGGAAGGGAAGTGAGAGCTATTGTAAGTCTTCAAATGAAAATACCTCCCTCTCCAGATCAAGAAAAGGCCATCAATATGTGCTTGTTCGCTTAGAGAATGGTCCACAAAACATTATTGTGTACCATTAGATGCACACACACTGAAAAGATGTAGAAGTCAATGAAACCTCTGTGTATTGTATCTTCCAAATTATGCAGGTAGCAATTTCACTCCACACTCAATTACCACTTTTTGCCTATCCTACAATGTATTTTCTCATTTTCCCTTTCATCGTTTGAAGAGGAGACGTGTGTAGATTGATTCGTAGAAGTAGTCCATATGCAAATAAACTAAAGAATATAAAAGAATGTAGAGAATACCACAAAACGTGAACTGGATTCTCATGTGAACTTCTTATTTTCATATCAATTTATGCTTAAGTGTGCTGAACAATCTGCATATCTCAATGACTCTTAGAAGGGGGGCAGTTTGCCTGACTTCCATTTGGAACTGTAGTTTGCTCTGGATTCACTGAAAAGTAAAACTAACACAATGTTGTCAGGAATTGCGACTTACATTTCTTTCCCAGGAATATTGAGAAGTGTCTGAAGTGTTTTAAAAAATGCCTGAATAAATAAAAGAGAGTAGTAAACACAATAGCATAAGGAGTCCTGAAAGGAAATTTTTATCATGTTTTGTGATAAGTTTATATGTTTAAAACTATTTTATCTGGAACCTAGCAATGAATAGGTTCTGTCTCAAAAGAGGTTACAATATGATTTTTTTTTTTTAGGGTTATGATAATTTTATTTGTAATTGTATAATAAAACTAAGTGTATTCCTCAAAAGAATTGCCCTTTGAAATACACTGAAAAGTTTCTATTCTGTTTCTTTGATCTGTTTCATGTAGGAAAGGAGAGAAAGGGAACGAAAACTGAGCAAAGAAATGGCAGAAAAAGCCACAAGGGAATTAGAGAAAATGCAGTTACAAGAAAAGGCTGAAGTAAAGTATAAAGAATGGCTGAAGAAGAAGAGAGATGAAGAGGCAGAAAAGAGGAAGATAGAGAAGGTATTAATCAACTGATCATTTATTTGGATGGGGTTACCTAATCTGCAACTTATATTCAATATATAGGTTGATTAAATTGATTAGAATTTATCAAATGGCAGTGTTGTACATAAAAAAAACTTTCAAAAGTTGTAATGTTAGTGTATTGAAGACACTGAGGTAAGGTCAGCAAAGCAAGATGTGTATTAGTGCATTTTTTTTTTTAAGTCTTTGCAAACCCACTGCAACTGTGATATGATAGGGGAAAGAAAAATACAAACCACCCAGTGTACCTTTATTTCTCAGTCCGTTGCAGGCTGACCCAGACAGGAAATAAGGAGCATTATGCGCATTTTTCTCCCAGCACCACTGTTGTATTATTATTAATCTTGCACATATTTCTAATTAAAAGCATTTTTCTTCATATCCGTCTGTACCAATCTGATGCTAGGAGTTCTAACTTTAATGCTATTTCATATTAATTAATCTCCTATGTATTTTTATAGTGAACTCCAGAAGACCTCTTACTTATTATAAGCTTCCTAAAGTACAGGCTTTGAGGTCCTTTGATTCACTAGAACAAATGCTCTGACAAGGCTATGATTGCAGGAATCATCCAGAATTTCTCTGAAATATCACATATTGGTAATGATTATGCCTGAAAACTATGAAATGTGTGACCAGATGTTTTATCTGTGAAGTTGATTGGTTGTATTTTAATTTAATTAACATTACAGTATAATTTTTCAGTAGAATATGTAATATTATAGGAGTACTACACCACTGTTGTAGCTGAGTGTGTGGGAGGATTGTGGTGAGAAGAATTTCTCTCTATTCCTCCTGTAATCACAGCAGTTGTTCTTAAAGTGCAGAACGTATTTGTAAGTGTTGCACAAGTACATATAATAAATTCTTTAGATTAACTTTAAAATACCGTAAGCTGTATCAGATCAATTTTCAGGCCTTATTGACCTTAATTTTTCAGTCTTTCAAAATTTCCCATATAATTAAAACACACTTAAATATTCTGTACTGGTGGTGTTTATTTCCTGCGTAACAAACTGATCCTGTGTCTCTGCTGAGCCACTAAAATGCACAGCACAAGGACCTTGAAACCCAAGAAAACAAAAGTCATCAGACAGATTTAAACCGTATTCATTCTTTTAGTTATGTCCTCATTACACAAGTTCTTATCAATTAAACTTAGTTTAAATCCAAATGCCATGCCTATACAAACTGTTTTTACTCCTACTTCTGATTAATGTTTCCCCAAACCTGCTCCAGGCTTGGAGGCAACCCAGTCATGGCTGATACAGGGCTGTATGAATATGGATAAATGAGAAGAGTAGATGGCTGTCCCAGATACAATAGCATCTTTAGGCTAACTGCAGCACAGTAGGCCCTGGTCATCTGCCCATTATGTTTGGTGTATCTTCTACATATAGTCTTCCAAAAGGTTTATGAGAAACCTGAGTGTTTTTCTCAGAGAAACACTGGATTAATGTGGAGGCTGATTCCCACCCTGCCCCAGCCCTGCCAGACTTAAAGGAAAAAAATGCAACTTTGCTGTTGTCAGAAAAATGTATTTCTATTTGAAAACATATTTGAAATGTATTCAGCAGTCTGGAAAATCCACAAAAGATTTATTTACAATTTTGTGTATATTGTACAGTGTTTTGTCTATAACTAGTTTTGATTTTTTTATTTTTAGGAAAAAGAAAAAGAAAGGCAAGCTGAACTACAGAAGAAGAGAGAGAGATCAGAGAAGATCTTTAACGAATGGCTACATAATGCTAGAAATAAGCCACGCCCTGTTTTAAATGGTTATGGCTTCCCACGTGGGAAGTCTACAGGTTTGTACTCCTACTGCACATATGTACTGACAGGTTTGTGGTTCCTTCCCTCTAATCTTTTAATGTAAAATGAAACCTGTTTAAGATTTTCATCCAGTATTTAATTTTGGCACATGGGAATGAATATCTCATGTGGTATAAGTTAGAGAAGTTTTTACTCTGAGACCCTTGGTGCGTTTTTTGTAGCCCTTCATGTTATTTGGGAGGAAAATTATATTATTTGAGAGAATAGTGTGACGTACCAAATTATAACTGATTTTGATCTTATTTTCATTATCAGACATAGGAATCACTAAAGCCACACTGATTCCTGTGAAGCAAATCAGTTATGCTAGCATCCTTGTCAAGTTAGTGTTTGTGTTACAGTAGGTATGCACCACGTTATCGCACCTGAATCCCCCTTAGAAAAGAGGTGGGGTTTTGAGATACAAAGATAATAAGAGGCTGATGGAAGTCCTGTCAGAAAAAGTAGACATGCGAATCAACCTGTGTTGTGAGCTAAGGGTTCCTTTCAGTTTAACTTTGCACCTGCATCGCACCTTCTTGGCTTCTGTAACCCAAGTCCTTTTTCGTTTTAAAAGGAAGTGATAAAGAGAATGCGTTTGATAGCGTAGTATTTTGCAAGTCTCACTTTAGTTTTGTTATCCCACATGGTACAAAACTAGGAGAACAGTAAGAAACAGTATTGCATTTTACAATTGAGTGCTTAATTAAATTTTCTTTTAAAAATATATATACTTTTGTCTTTATTTTTTCATAGAATTAAAATAATTGTTGTTATTTGAATTCTCAACAGAAAATATTTTAGGACCTAATTTCCAGGCTCTGAATGTTTAAGAAAATGTGTAAAGCAGGTGAACAACCTTTGCTCTTTTGCTGACATCTGTTTATAGATGGTGATACGCTTTACCTTCGTGTTTTGTTTTGGACCTTCATTCCTTCCTGACAGCTGCAATCACATGTTTAAGTGATTTTTGAAAAATATTTTTATACTCAGCTGTGTTCATGCAATAGAATATATTACAGACTGTGTTTTACCCAACCATGTGATGTGTGCACTGAAATTTCGTTACAAACAAATGACTAATAGGGCACGATGTTCCTTGTGTTGCACTTTAGGTTTTCTGATATTGCTTTATGGGCCCTAGGTTATTAATTGCAGATTATTAATGTATATGTGAATAATTAGTGTATTTTTCTGCTCAATAAAATGAAGAATAACAGTTAAGCAAAGATGGAAAAATGTGAGCTTTGCATATGTGGTGACAGGAAGTTGTATTTATAAATGCTTTGAAATGATGCAAAGTAGCTAATTTAAATTATACGATGGTGCCTATGCTGTCTTCCTTTGAAGATGCTGTTGTGTCTTTGTTAGTCCTGATGATTATTATAACTGCTTGCATTGTAAAACTTGCAGTGTAAATATTTCTTTTTAGTTATGTGTATTTTCTAAACATTTTAGGGTGTGCTGATGGAACTTTGTATCCAGCTCCAGCATATTGTAACCCCATTCCTTGGAAGCCCATACATGTGCCTCCTCCAAAGGAAGACAATGTTCTTACCGTGAAGAAGAGTAAGAGACCTGTATCTTGTCAATCACATGTGTCTTTGCCTATGGTAATTTATAAGCCCAAGCACAACACTCGTGTTGGATCCTTGTGCAGAAAGCAGTTATAATACAGAACACAAAACTATTCTTATGATCTTGAGTGATCTGGGCCATAAATATGTAATTATATGTAGTTATATGTCCAAAACAGGCTGCTTGCTTTTTTAAAAAAATTTTTTGTGAACGTGTTTTGTATTTATAGCTAACTGACCAATCAGCTTTTTTATGTATGGTTTTTTATATGTTGCATTTTAGTAAAAAAAAAAAGGGGGGGGGCAAAGTCACATTTAGCCAATTGTGATGGGAATGTACCTCAATACCAATAAAACACACAGGATTGTTTCTTCCTTTCCTCTTCTTTTGTTGTTGAAGGAGTTCTTTTGTGTATTTGATTATTCTTTTAGGCAGCAGTATTACTGGGTCATTTTAAAGCTGCTAATTATAACAGACTTTAAAACCTTTCTTGGCTTAATGCAGAAGGAATTCAAGGCCTATGTGCAGTTGCAGGGCTATGATGTCATTTGGATCGCAGAGATGTAGTGGGATAGCTTACATGGCTGGAGTGCTGCAATGGATGGATACAGGCTCTTTAGGAAGCACAGGCTGGGGTGGCAAGGAGGAGAAGAGAGCAGGAGGAACACATGATGTTTTGCCTGAGGACCAGTGATTAGCCAGCTGAGACCTAATGACTTAAGATTAAAGGGAGACCAAGGTGAGCAATGCTGTGGTGGACATCTGCCACAGACCACTTGATCAGGAAGAAGTATGTGACATTCTTCAGGCAGCTGGAAGAAGCTGTATGCTCACAGGCCCTGGTCTCATAAGCAGTCTTGAACCACCCTGAAATCTGCTGGAAGGGCAACACAGCAGGGCACAAACTGTCAAGGCAGTTTCTGGAGAGCATTGGTAACTTCCTGAACTTCCTGACAGAGCTGGTGGAGGAGCTGACAAGGGGAGACTCTTTGCTGGACCTGATCTGTACAAACAAGGGAGAACTGGTTGGGGACGTGAAGGTTGGGGTCAGCTTTGCCTGCAATGACCATGGGATGATGGAGTTCAGAATACAGATAGGAGGAAACAAATAGCAGGATCACAACCCTGAACTTCAGGAGAGCAGATTTTGTCCTGTTCAGGAACTTTCTTGGAAAAATCCCATGGAATATGGTCCTGGAGAGAAGAGGGGTCCAGGAGCTTCAGTTCAAGGATTGCTTCCTCCAAACTCAAGGATGGTCCATCCCAATGAGCAGAAAATCAAGCAGGAGTGGCAGAAAGCCTGCAGAGGTGAACAAGGAACCCCTGACTAAAATTACATATAAAAAGGATGCATACAAGAGGGGGAAGCAGGAACAGGTGATCCTGGTGGAATACACACACACTGTGCAAGTGTGCAGGGGTAGGATTAGGAAAGCCAAAGCTTATCTGGAGTTGAAGATCGCAAGAGATGTGAAGTACAAGAAGAAGTGCTTCTCTAGGTATATCATCAGCAAAAGGGAATTTAGGACAAATGTGGGCCTACTGCCACATGGGGCAGGAGCTTGGTGACAATGGACAATGGAAAAGGCCAAGGTACTTGATGCCTCCTTCACTTCTTTTTTTCCTGGCAATCTGCTGATTCGCTTCACCAATCACTGGTCCCAGAGTCCAATGGGAAAGTCTGGAGCAGGGGAGACAGCTTTGGTGGAGGAGAATTAGCTTAGGGAATACCTAAACACACTGGACATACGTGAGTCTATGGGATCTGATAGTGTGCACCTATTCCTATCAGGAATGCTGAGGGAGGTGGCAGATGTTATAAGGGCACTCTCAATTATCTTTGAGAGGTCCTGGCGATCAGGGGAGATTCCTGAGGACTAGAACAAAGCAAATGTTTAATGCTGTCTTCAAGAAGAGCAAGAAGGCGGCTCTGAAGAACTACAGGCCAGTCAGCTTCACCTCAGTCACCTAGAAAGGTGATGGATGCGGCAAAGGAAGCTAGCAGCTTCCTGGGCTGCATGAGAAAAAGCATTGACCAGCAAGTTGAGGGAAGCGATCCTTCCCCTGTGCTCAGCTCCGGTTGAGGCCACATCTGGAGTGCTATGCCCAGTCCTGGGCACCCCAGAAAAAGAGTGACATGGACATGCTGGAACAAGCTCAGTGAAGGGCCACAAAGATGATTAAGGGATTGGAGCATCTGACAGACAAAGAGAAGCTGAGAGAGCTGGGACTGTTCAGTGTGGAGGAGGAAGTTCAGGGGAGATCTTACCAATGTCTGTAAATACCTGATGGGTGGAGAGATAAAGATAGAGCAGACCCTTCTCAGTAGTGCCCGGTGACAGGAGAAGAGACAATGGGCACAAATTAAAATACAGGAAATTCCATTTAAACATGAGACAGAAATTTTTAACGTGAGAGTGATCAAATGCTGGAACAGGTTGCCGAGAGATGTTGTGGAGTCTCCATCCTTGGAGATACTCAAAACCTGACTGGACACAGCCCCGAGCAGCCTGATGTAGTTGGCCCTGTTTTGAACAAGGGAGTTGGAGTAGATGATTTTCAGAGGTCCCTTCCAATCTCAACATTTCTGTGATTAATGGTGAAAAGGAGAAAGCAGAAGGAAATAAGACTTTTTTTCCTGCTGTCATAGTTGTGTCACTTTAAGATTGTTATACTTAACAAATTACACAATATTAAGAAATATATTATGTATTATAAAATTTAAATTAAAAAACACTAAGGCACACGTAAGTATTCTAATATGTTGATTCTACCTCTAATCTTATTAATCAATTTAGATTTCTTCAGGCAAATAATTAAAAATACTAAACTATCTCGTGTCAGGTTTATACTTAAAACATTACTTGTACCCCTACTTTCAGTGAACCAGTTTGTACAATATGCCTATGACTGGTCTTTCTAGATAATGCCAAACGCTAAGAAGACTGCAACATCTTACAGTAGTTAATAGATTATTTGGTTTGTGTTTGTCAGTAATTTATGGTGTGAATTAATGTGGTCTCACATATTTAGACTTTCACAAAGTACTTCATTCACCTATTGTTAAGGCAGGGCAAAGGACATTATGGAATTGAGTTTAAATTTTTATTTTACTCTGCAAAGTCATAAACATAAAACTATTCTTCATCAGAATGAAAAGAAAGAAAAAATTCTTTAAAGAGAAATGTATGAATCTTCTTTAAGTCAATTCTATCATTTTATTATAGTAGTGGCTAAAAATAACTAAAATTGGGACTGCTGTGTGCTACAGATTTAAATACAAGTGGAAGCCCATTTTAATACTTGAAGGTGCATCATTTCATCTGACAAAATAGACGAACGCCAGTACGAGTATACAAGTATATTCATCAGTTTATCGCGTGTGGTGAGTGCACAAGCTGATCTGATGCATTTCACTTCTGTCACTAAGATATCTAGGGTGCACTGTGCCCATGATGGGTCTGTTCTTGTTACTTCTGTAACAGTGTGTAAATCAAGAGCCAAACATTTATGAATATGTAATATACAACATGGGTTATCATTATATTAATTAATTCAGTACCTGACTTCCTGCAGCCTAACATTTGTCATAGGGCATACAGAGTAAAAAGTGTAAATTTTTAATGCTGTATTTATTTAACAGTTTATTTTCCTATTTATTCTAATACATAAATAAAACAAAGACACTTAACACAGCTCCCATGAAAGACAATAAAAACTCCTAGCAAGGCCACTGACATGACTTACTAGAATGTTCTCTTAATAATCTTTATAGGTTATTTCCATATTCTAAAGTATGTAAAGCTTTTGATTCGCTACAGGTCGTTGGTTTTTTTTTTTAAAGGCAGAAAATAATTTTAATGGTTCATGCACTATTTTCCTCTGTGTGTTTATTTGATACTAATTTTACTATACACACTCTAGGAGAACCCTGGACTTCATAAAACATGCAGAGTGTCAAACTATGTTTCTGTTAAATAGGAGAACATGGGCTTCACAGAAGAAGTCTGCATATTATCTTCAGGCTGTAGAACTCCGTGCCTGGCTTTTTCTGTAAGGACCTCTGCAATGGATTGGTATGAAACTAGTGAATTAATGGATTAGTTGTTAATCTTTCCAGCTGACCTTTCCATGTGGAGATGCCTTATGAGAGTTGGAAGTTTGACAATTGTGTAAGCTACCAGAGGCTCATTAGTGTTTAGAAGAAGGGACAGCATTTTACTGTAATGTAAATGATTAATTTTGGATTAGCTTACAGAGGTTTCTTGGGACTCTGATTTAGCTGGAGAGCCATATACTATCATGTTAGTTTTTTCTCTAATAGTTTTTCTGAAATAGCATGTGGCCTCAAGTAAGGTGTGTTGACGTAATTACCTGAGTGTGTATTTACAACTTTGTATCTATTTTAGCATTTATTTTCTTGTAGTGACATAAAATGGCCTATCATATGAAGACAGGCATTGATAGCATTTAAATTAGCAGAGTATGAAAGAATCTATGGCTCAATTCTGCTGTAACACACCGTTGACAAGATTTCTGTTGGCTTGAACAGTGACAAAGGCAATTTAACAGGGGTTCCTGTGCTAACCCAAATAGAGTTGTGCTTCAGGACTACATGTCTGCACCCAGGGTGAAGGGCTAAATAAATCTTAAATGAGTATTTGGTTCAGGAATGGGAATATAGCAGTAAATGTTGAAGTCTAGTAGTTTTCTTTCAGATGTCTCAGCCAGAATAATCAAACTGAGTACTTACTGGAATTCTGGTTTAGAGATTTTAGAAAATAGTAATAAATATCTAGAACCATTATTCTTTTTTTCTCCCAACCAAAGATAGTGTTATTTTTCATCCACCGAATTTTCTGTGGAAAGGTTTATCCCCTCTGTAGAATCAGAACATTTCATTTGGAGATAGCCAGCTTTAAGTGGACTTACAACCCCTAAAATAGCAGCTTTAAGATGAGGCCCTTGCTGTAGCGTATCTATAGCATTGTAAATGCAGTTCTGTCCTAAGTAAATTATGAATAAAGTTAAGGCAAGATAGCTCATGAGTGTACAGGTTGGCTCCAATTCAGTCAACATAATGGTTTTGCCGAGCAAAGAAGAGAAATATTGTTTGGATTTTTTCCAACAGGATATCAACCTCACAATAAAATGGTCTGGCCTTGTAGGATAATTTAAGACTGTATGCTACAGAAAGCTATAATTTCATGCTGTTGCAGCAAATAATTAATTTTCACCATTCTTTCTCTGATGTTAGAAAGATAAAATCTTAACACTTTGTTGTAGCTTAAACAGCATTCTGTAGTCTCTTATTAAGTTCCCTCCTGGATTTCTCTGCTCATGAAATTTCACAGTAGATCAAGTTGCAGAATCTCGAATTACTCACTAGAAACAATCCAAGATCTTGCATCTTGACGTCTATGCTGCTAAAATAATATGAGACTCAACCTCTGCTTATTTTCATCCCCTTGTTTTTGCAGAAATTCTGATTGTAAGAATTCATAGACCACTTCAAAATCCTGGCTGCTGCATCCTTCTAGGATTCACCACCTTTCCTCCTCTCCATCTGTCAGTCCCAAATAGAGTGCCACATTCAACCTCACTGTGAGACGTTACATCTCCTATGAGTTTTACTGGTTTTGAAAATTACTGTGTAGGTGCTCTGTAAAGTAGCATGACTTTCCAGTAACTGACAGTGGATCTTCACACAGATGTTTCAGGGTTGAAAGTCTACAGGCAGGAAAGTGGATCAAAACAAGTAATAGAAGAGCAAATGATGAGTAAGAAGTCACTATTATTGTAGGCAGCCTTGCATTCTTAGGAAGTAGTCCAGTTAATGTAACATAATGCAACTTCACTGTTGGAAGTTTTGTTACTGGTTCTGGTGTGGAGCCAAGGCTTCACCTGAACCCAATAATTACATCAGATTCTAATAATGTCCTTGCCAGTGTAATGTTTAATTGTAAAATTACTTTCTTAGTTTCTCATTTTGAAAACCAGACTGAAGAGCAGTCAGTAGTCCTGATTTTCAGTGGGAGGTTTTTGTGAGTAAATATGGAAGATTTCACAGTTTATTGCTGTGGTCAAAAGGTGAGTTTTCCAGACTGCTGTA